GAGGTTCCGGCAATACCTCCAGATAAACACCGCCCAACCCAAACCCAACTATCATGAAGCCGCCGATTTCTTAATCTCCCAGGCCAACTCCCTCTCCCTCGAATCCCAAGTCCTTGAATTCGTTCAGGGCAAACCACTGGTCCTTCTCAAGTGGCCCGGCAAGAACCCCGCCCTTCCCTCCATCCTCCTCAACTCCCACACCGACGTCGTTCCCTCCGAGCACCACAAGTGGGCCCACCCTCCCTTTGACGCCCACCTCGACTCCGCCACCGGCAACATCTACGCCCGCGGCTCCCAGGACATGAAGTGCGTGGGGATGCAATACCTGGAGGCCATCCGGAAGCTCAAGGCTTCTCCTTCCTTCCGCCAGCCTCTTCGGACCGTCTACCTCTCCTTCGTCCCCGACGAGGAGATTGGCGGCCACCACGGCGCAGAGATGCTCGCCCATTCCGAAGTCTTCCAGAAGATGAACGTCGGGGTGGTGCTTGACGAGGGTCTGGCCTCCCCTGATGATTTTTACAGGGTTTTCTATGCTGAAAGGTCACCCATGTGGCTGGTCATCAAGGCCACTGGCCCTCCCGGACATGGGGCCAAGCTCTACGACAACAGTGCCATGGAGAACCTGCTGAAGAGCATTGAGAGCATCCGCAGGTTTAGAGCTGCTCAATTTGATCTCGTCAAGTCAGGCTCTAGAGCCGAGGGGGAAGTTATCTCTGTTAATATGGCCTTTCTCAAAGCTGGCACTCCTTCCCCCACTGTAAGTCAGTGCAGTGTAGAATATGGACTGGACACACAACCAAGTAGACTGTATTCAACTTCTGCTCTGGCATCTTCAGAGAGAATTTTCATGCCTCAATTTATTAGGAATAATATGAACTTTCTATTTTCCATGTTTGACTGGATCTTTCAGGCTGAACATATACCCAAAAAAAAAAAAAAAACACACACACACACACACACAGAGTGGACACCGTATGTAAATCCTCTGGGAAATTAGCGTGCCTTCTTTGGTATTTTTATTATCACATCATAATTATAATCTCTTGGTTACTGTGCTTTGAAAGAATAAAGGAGCATTATATAACCTGGCAGCATTTCTTTTTTCTTTTACACGCATTAGCATCGGTAGTTAATATAAACAAAATAATCTGATGCGATATTTTGCGTCTTTGATTTCATGAAATATAATTTGGTGTATCAATTTTGGGAATTTGGTTTTTGGTTTTAAAAGGGGCCCTTTACTCCTTACTTCTTTGCAGAATCTTTCAACAAAAGGCAAAAGTACACTTTTTGTTGGATATAGATGCCAAATGTAGCCATCCCTATTGGAATGACCAACTTTTCCCACCTATTTGTTTTGACAGGGGTTTGTCATGAATCTACAGCCATCCGAAGCACAGGCAGGTTTGGATATCCGAGTCCCTCCAACGGCAGATCACTTGTCCTTGGAGAGACGTATTGCTGAGGAATGGGCTCCTAGTTCACGTAATATGACCTTTGAGGTAATGTGAACGTTTTGCTATGTTTCTTTCATGTGTGTTTCTTATGAACTGTAACGAAACTAATTGACCCAACAAGTTTTACATTCTTTCTTTGCTTTTCACATAGCATTTAATGTTTGTAAATCGATTGAATGTATTTTACATCTGCTGATGTTGGAAACTGTTCAACCTGAATAGCTGTTTGACTAATAAAGCGCACGATTTGCGTGGCTTTTACCCACTTGGGAAACCTGTTCCTTTTGAGCTTATGCTATATTAGATCGACTGTGTCAAATTGTGCATCATTTAGATGTAGTCTTGATTAAGTTTGAAGGCCTTATATTGCAAGATTGATCACTCCTACCCATTAAATGCACATTTGATGGAAATGTCAAAATATTATGCAGAGTACATCAGGTTTCCGATAGCATGTGAAATGTTTCGTTTTCCTGAAGAGGGAATGATTTGAAATACTAGTGTGGTTATAGCATTAATTAATGTTTCAGCTGGATGACCAGTAATGGTGGATTGCCTGAATGATTTTGAAAAGAGAGAGAAATTGCTCTTATTTGTTAAACATAGCATTTGACTGCTGTCATGGGCAACAATTGGCGAGACATACAATTGCATATAAAAGCCCCTTGTTTTAGAAAATTGGAGTGTCCTAACTATTCTCGTAGCTTGGACAGTTCAAACAAAAGGCATCTGTGTATGACAAATTTGGGAAGCCAATGTTGACGGCTCATGATGGTTCCAATCCTTGGTGGGGACTGTTAGAAGAAGCTATAAAAAATGCTAATGGAAAAGTTGGAAAGCCAGAAATATTTCCTGCTTCAACGGATGCTCGCTATTTCCGGGAGCAGGGCTTGCCAGCAATTGGCTTTTCTCCCATGGCAAATACTCCCATTCTTCTCCATGACCACAATGAGGTGAACATTGGCTCTTATATTCTGGCTGGTATCTTTAAACTATACATGTATCCCCATGCATGTTTGCTGGTTTATCTTTTCTGAAAACACACTGTTATCCTGTGTTTGCATGACCAAATTTATTTTAGATATCTCTGTCTGGAAAGGAAGAGAAGTGTGCTGTCTGTATCTGAAGTTTTACTGTTGCACAAGTGACTATTTACCTCTTTGTTGGAACAAGGCACAGACTTGATGGGTTGCAGCCCTAGTTGTAAGATCAGCTAGGAATCTTCTCTTTCCTTTACCCAGTAATCACTAGCAATGACTTCTCTTGAACCTATTCCCCCTGGCCTCAGAGACACAAACACAAGAACAACAAAACACCACCACCACCAACAACAACAACAACAGTAAGGCATGATTTGTAAGTCAGAGATTAAATATGAAAATGTCAAATTTTGTGAGGGAAAATTGTGGAAGAAATATGAAATATCAGCCTGGAATTTGTTCTACCTGTCACAATTCTTTTTGTTCCATGGTGATTGCTTTTTCCTAAATATAGAGGCCGCATGGATTTTGTTTTCTGCTTGTTGTATTGACATTAGTCTAAGAAGCATGAAAAAGCTGATTTGAGACACAGAGATGCATGAGAATGCGTAGTTAGTAATGTGCAACAATCTATAATCTAGGACTTGGACCACTAAAGACATGGTATAAAAGTAATGTATTAATATAGAGGCTTTTGTTTAGATATGTCCTTTTTTATGGCTGGTAAAAAGGAGTTTAGTCTTGGGTACGAGAGACATGGAACAACAACCTGGGAAAGGTTGGACCATAGGAAGTGACATGCAGTAGGAACTTAGTTGACAAAGAAACAGAAAGGTTTTCCCGATATTCTTCTCCTGATGTTTCTCACATTCTTGTACTTGTGTTGAATGTCTTCTGAGTGTGTTAATTGTTACATGAAGTTATAACTCAAACTTGTGTCCAGAGGATGCAAGTACTCAGGAAATGTCATCATGGTGGTCATAGTGCCATCAGTAATCAACACTTGCAGGAAACTTTGCCAATTGTTTGTGGAAAGCATGTGTTGTGAATACTGTAACGTTGAAAATGTTTTAGATTTAGGTTCCGTCTCTCTGTATCTTTAACAGCAAGCTGAAGCAGGGCATTATAAGTGCAATAAATTCCGTTCATTTCTGCAGTTCTTGAACAAGGACGAGTATTTGAAAGGGATTGATGCATACGAGTCAATAATAAAAGCCTTTGCATCATTTGACGAGCGAACAAGTGATGACGAATCCAAAGCAGAACTGTAAGGAGATGGCTGTTGGGATGTTGGTGGCAATTTCTGCATCAACGGTAACAGCGTATCTGAATCTGTGGTATTCGATTGGTATTACGTACTTTAAGTCAGAAGCAGCATTAGTGAGCTGGGCATTTATTGTCCGAGAGAGGTTGACATCTCATGTAGAATTGCTGATATTTTTCCTCAGTCCCACCAACGTACGACTCTGCTGCTTTTTCGCTCTTCTTTGTTTAGATTGATTTAAACTTTTGCTGTCTGCGGCTACATGAATAATAAGTCCATGTATAAAGGAGGAGTGGGGATGATTAGTTTACTGGAACAGATGAATATAACGGCTTGGTTGACTTGACGACGCCACTTTCAATCTTTGTTACTTGTTGTAACCCTGCTGCCCATCCCCCTCCCCTTGGTTATTGTTTCTCTCTCTCCCTCTTCCCCTCTCCCAGGTTCCTCTATAGATTCTCGTACATATCTCAGAATATTTTCTCCATCTTATAGCAGACTGGGGGGAGAGAGAGATAACCCCATGCAGCTCTTAATCTATTGAATCCGCTCTTAGAGAAAGAATAGTAAGCGAACACCGTTCAATGGGCAGTGCAAGCTAAAGCTTTTAGGTTTTGCCCAGAGAAATGCTCAGCTACTTAAAGTTGCGCGGTGAAGGCCCTCAGGTTTGTCCAGAAAATGCTCTTGAGTTATTCCGATTTGGTTAGTGGTGCACTTCATTGATTCATCTAAAGTTACATAGAACTGTGTTATAGCTGTTGTAGTTATCTTTTCATAAGTTTATTAAGCACTAGAAGAACAAGAAAACACTTGAGAAGAGTGAATCACTGAAACCATTTTATAGCACTAGTTTATTATACTTGAGCATCATCATAATCATGCACTCGACTTGAAAATAAAAGAATTCATAAGACAGAGAATGAAGCCATTTGGATATTTTTTGTTGTGGTTAGTGATTCGTAGTTGCCCATTTGGACTGTTGCACAATGGATGGTTACAGAATACCTAATCATGGCTACTTGTTAAATAGAGTAACCAATACACTACCAATTGTAAAGGGGCTTACAAAAGTATACATGAGATGATGAGATGCCCAAAACCATATATACTCATATAAAAGAGTCAATACAAAAGTGATAATCACTGTCGGCTTCTCCAAATGATTAATGAAGTTCTTTTCATGTCAAAATCAAAAAAGAAGAAAGAAAAAAAAATATGTATGAAGATTAATTCATACAATTGGGAACCCTCATATGCATTTGATCAACAAAATTGCACATCAGCAGCAGCAGCAGGATGTAGAATTCCTGACTCTCATATGCTTGCTAAATTCAACATATGCGACGTTAATTCAATCGTGACAACGTATACACCGTCATCGTTCATTCAAAGATTAATCTATAAAACAAAGTAAAATTAAATGCTCCTCTTCCTCCACCGCGGATGGGATGAGAGGGATGAAATGAAGCAGCAGAAGCAGGATCCACGATCGAAGTCATAGCAGTAGGTTATGAAATACTGCTGCTTGCTCCTTAGTACTAATTAACCACTACTAAGTAATAATGCTGTGTCCGAGACTTGGGGGGTAGAGTAGATCCTCCCCAGAATCAGAATGGTGTTTGGGTGTCGGAGCCCCAGACCATCCCTCTCCCGCAGTTGCAGGATCCAAGAGGACGACCTCCTCCTCCGCCTCCTCCTCCTGGTGATGAAATTTCTCCCGCCGCCAACTCATCCATAACTGCCCTGCCCTGCCCTTGCTCCACCTTTACCTTTACAACCCACCGCCAAACACCAAATGTCCAATGACTAATGATGGGGCTGCCCATCTCGTGTACGTCCGTAGAAAGCCCGATCCACCACATCTACCACCTGCCTCTTCTGACCCGCACCAACCACCCATACCCGCTCTCGATTCTGAATCGCCACCTGGGAAATCCGTTCATCATCAATACCAGTCTTCTTCTGAAAATATTTCTGGCCCTAATCAAGTCTCTCCTGGGATTTCATCTTCCATGCGCACTCCTCCTGCTCCCGCCAAATTGACTGCTATTCCTGCCGCTACTCCAATTACGCATTGGGAAAATGGTCCGTCTTGCAAATTAAACAACTCCCTGCACAAGCTGGACCCCTCAGATCAAAAGGATTATATTGAGAGTACGTCTTTTTGACCTACATAAAGCTTACCTACCTCATTCTCCGTCTTCTTCTAAATCATGCTATTAATTTGTTACTCAATGCTCGCCGCCCCTTCTTGTTTTGCAGTGCTTCGATCTCTTTCCTCTGTGGAACTCAGTAAGCATGCGGTTGAACTGGAGAAGAGGTCAATTCAGCTTTCCCTGGAAGAAGGTTGTATATGCTGTTAATTGCTTTTCTCTTGCTTCACTCTTTATTGTTTTTAGGTGAAAATGTGGCGCACAGACCAGAAATTGACAACATCCATATTCGTATTGCATCACTCTTTATTGTCTGGGATTCAATGCCTCATGCGGCATTTTTTTTTCCCTTCTGCTAGAGTTCCATCATACTGATCATTTTCTTGTAATATTCACTCTGTTCTTTCTCCAAACCACAATAATTCCATGCTGATGATGATTTTCTTTCCTCACCGTGGTACGACAGAAGCATTTTAATCTTCTCTATGTGAAGATTCATGCCACTAGGACTGCCCGCTTGAATTTTCTGTCTGCCAAGGAAAATATCCAGGGTTCTGATGTTTCGAAGTTTTGCAAGATCTATTGAGCTATTAACTGCAAAAGAAATAAATAAATAAACTCACCTCGTTCACATTCATTAGGCTGAGCTTTGGTCATATCTGCCCTCGTTGCAAGTTGAATGTGATCGATGTCGGGCTTCCTTTTGGATACCTTTGAACAATTCATGCTACCTCTTTCCAGTTGCCCTGTCTTTCCCTTCCCATTTCTGTCAGCTGGATGAGTCGGAAGGAGGCAATCACCTCAAAAGCTGAACCTCCCAAGTGTAGACCTCTTAGTCTCTTGGGCTTGCCAATTTACAGTCAGATGAAAAAGCAATACAACCTTCAGCTGTCAATCTCTTAGTCTCTTAGCACTTTCTTAAGATCTGATCAGCCAATAAAGAATACAATGACAATGCAAATTCAATTCAAAAGTCCAATATAGGGCTACAGGAACATCATTTGTCTATCCTTCCTCGTGAGTGCAGGCTTATGTGTCTTAGGGAAATATAGTTAGCTGGCTTTGCTTTCCTGCAGCTGCCGCTTCACCCATTCTGAAGCATCAGTGCCAAAGATGAGCAATTTGGTTGACTTACTGCTCCAGCCATGACCGTCTTTTGTATTATGTTACTATATTGATTGCCAATTCTTGTTGCTCTGAGATTTTCTCCAATTTTTTGGCTTCTGCCTTGTCAAATAACTCATTTTCCTGGCCCATTTTGTTAGGCAAAGACGAGCCTAGAATCTTCTAAATTTACTTGCAATTTCTGTCTTCACTACATGTACTACTACTTTGCTTTTGCTCTATTTTGGGTTGAGCATATGGTCACAACACGTTACTAATATCATTTCTTGTCCTAATTGTTTCCTGTCTGGTTCAGCAAAAGAGCTTCAACGAGTTCAAGCCCTTGATGTCTTGGAGAGATACTCGAAGCACTCGAGAGTGCCCTCGAACCAACAAAACATGTAAAGACAATTTAGGTCAAGGTGTTCGACCACTGGTCAGTTGTAGACCTTGTTACTGTACTTTTAAGCTCAGCATACCCTGTTATGTTGTAATTACTGTTTCTGTAAACATTTAGACGTCTATTGGCTCCGTCCATTGACATGTAGATATTCCTAAGTGTATTTAACCGCAACATAATTTTACAAAGTGTAATATTCTCATTTGTTGTTTTGTCACTCTTAAATGTTAAGCAAATTTATACCTCAAAGAAAAGAAATTGCAGGGCAAATTTAGCTCTTTCTTGCTTTGAGCAACTGCAAAAGATGGGGAACTGGCGTCATGGTTTCTGAAGTCTGTTATCGATATAGTTTGTAAATTCTATATCATCAAATGATTGGGTGCCATTATAGAATGTGTTAATGTACCTATATAAACCTTAAATTCAACCAAAGATCTGCTACATTGCCTTCAACAGATGATCAAGTGAAAGGACGCAGCAGCATCCCAGACATGCCGTCCATATGCAAATGTTTCAGAAGAACTGTAGAAATCCAAGGACATACTTGACAAGCATTGCAAAATTAGAAGTGCAAAGAGTATGTGATGGAGGAATTTGTGTATCATGCATCTTTTTTCTTGTTTGATGGAGGTAACTTTCCTTGATCTATCCGGTAGCACAGAGTCGAGCATCCATGGATGGCCCTAAGCGTTGTGGTTTTTGATGATACATACGTTAGGCATGGCATGGGAGAGTCCACACAACTTTGGGACAGGTACGGTTAGTAATAGGTGAAATTGTTTTAATTTTTTAATGATTTGGTGTACATTCTCACGATTTTGATATATTTTATAATGCCCAACAAAAAGTTATATGAGTGTACACGAAATCATGAAATATATCAAATATTATATGGAAATACGCCAAATCATTAAAAAAAAAAAAAAAAAAGTAAAACAACCACATCAACCGTACCTATTGCAAATCGTACCTATCTCGTTCTCCTCCCATACAACTGGCTACGTAAATAGGATAGTATTATGCATAGTTATTAAATTCGGCCTGGCTCAACGGTTGAATTGGTCAAATTGGTGGACCGGCCATGAAATCGGACTGATTTAGCAACAATTGGATCGGAGTTGCAGACAGTATTATGCATAGTTATTAAATTCGGCCTGGCTCAACGGTTGAATTGGTGGACCGGCCATGAAATCGGACTGATTTAGCAACAATTGGATCGGAGTTGCAGACAATTCGCTTTGAGAAAAGTGCAAGGGTATGATCAGTGCGAAAAAAAACGTAAACAAGTATCATTATTGTCACATAAGTATAATATTATAGGAGGAATTGTCGCTAGTAGCAGTTTTCTTTAAAATAGTTCGTTCCCATCTCACTGACGTATCGAATATACCAAAGTCTTGGCGTATCTGTGGATATACTTCGATTGACCGTTCCTTGTCTGAGTTGGATCCCCCTGTCCCTTGAGGAAGAGAAGGTGGGAATCTGATCACCGGATTCCCTGGCAAAGCGACTGCTGCAACTACTACTACTAGTGATAATGAGTAAAGACTAAGAAGCCAAAGAGTTCGGCTGACTTTTGCTTAAGTATTTTATCGGAGAAAGTGTGGCCTGCGTGCTCAAAGTTGTGATGCCTAGGTCCTGACCCAACCATGGAAGAAGAACCAACAATGGAAGAAGTCTAATCTAATAGCAATGTCCCAGCGACGCAGACAAAGAAATGCCTTTTTGTCTCTATCAACTCAACGTTGTATGTCCTCTGCTCTGATCAGCTTTGCTGCTGAGCAGATATCACTACTCAGTAGGACAGTAGCAGTAGTAGTATAAGGTTTTCGTTGACATAATAATTGCAATATCTGTAATTTTTTTTTTTTTTTAAACTTTCTACGTCGCTCAAAGCTCACATCACAATTATGGGAACAAATCGTTGACATCAACTGTTAAGAGTTACATAATGTAGTATTATTACTGATTCTTGGATCTCTCGTGAGTCGGGCTAACGTTTGCAGTCGACCAACCAAACAAATGAAGCAAAGCTAGCAAGCAAGCAAGCATGCTCTAAGGGCGTCCGATCAGTAGCGCTATAAGATGGGATGCGGCGACTCATTGCCTCAGCCCAGCAGGGCATTGAACAGCCAGTCAGTCTCCCCCATCCCCCGCGTCCCACTTGAAGCATGTCTTATTATATTATGATATACTCTATACCGCGGTTACACGTCGATCATGATCTCACTGTTGTTGGCACCTGTCCACTCTTTCCTTCTTTTTTCCTATCCACCTCAAACTTCAATCTTCAAACCCCCACCCCATATGTGATATGCCCACCTCACCTCACCTCACCTCACCTCTTTCTTTTCTTTCTTGGATGATGATTTAACCACATTCATTCTCACTAATGTTTTGAAAACCAGACCCGACCGGTCGGTTCGACCGATCGGACCATGAACCGATCGTGTCTTCGGTCCGGTTCAATCAAAAAGCCAAAGAATTAATTGAACCGGTAAAAATCGAGAAATTCAATCGATTTTTATTAAATATTTATTTTCTAAAATAAATATTTTAGTTTTATTCAAAATTTTTAATACTAAAATGAATAAAAAAATTATTAAACCTTTGAATTGGGATTGAACCGTGAATCGAAAAATTTTCCGGTTCACTTCCCAATCCGAGTTTAAAAACATTGATTCTCGCTCGTACACCCTTCACTAACTCATACGATGGAGTACTAGACTACAATAATATTAGTGTATTATGCTAGTTGCGCTTGCGAGTTCATTCATATGCGTGTGTTTGTTTAAATCGTACAATCTCTACTCCCCCAACCCAAACTAGTTACTTGATAGTCGAGAGATATTGAAGGAGATATAGAATCACTTTTTTTTTTTAAATATTTGATAATTAAGTCTCGAAAAGAAACAAGAAATTTTATCCTAAAGAAAATATAAGATCTAGTTATTAACTAACTAATAGTTTTGTAATTAATCATTTCTACACCGACTATCAAGATTAGTGTGTATGTTATTCGATTATTTTATATATACATGTCACATATATTTTGTTTTATTTGTCATGTTGTAATAAGTAGAAAAGTGTTAAATCAGACTAGTCCAAAACTTGAAGCACTAACAATATAATTATCTCGTAACGTGCCTCAAATTGATAAGATTCATGAGAGGAATCTACAAGATAGCAAAGGTGAGGAGGACCAGTGATGATAATACAGAGAGAGGCACATTAAAAATTGATGACACTTTTGAGCGTTCCCATCACAGCAAGAATAAAGCTAATTCCCCCCAGAGAACCCAGGCCCCCACCCACTCTTGTTGGTTGTAGCTGCTCCCTCCCCCAGAAGGCTGTTGGGCTGATGACGGCTGCATGTAGTCCCAAAAACCAAGACATCCTCTCTACCTTATTTCACGACCCCAAAAGGATTGTGTACCGTATTCATATCCTCCTCCTTACATCCAACAAACATAAGCTAGCAAGTCCCACGTACCACCCTTCCTTCTTCCTTTGCATGTCTCTCTACATATATGGTTTTTTTTTCCCTTCTATTTTTTTTTTTATAACGTAAACCCACTTTACCAAACGTTTTCTAGTTGCTAAAGAATCACAGTACAGTAACAGTACAGCAGAACATGCCTTCTGCAGCTGCTCAACACAGTACCAACGAATCTTCTCCAGTCTGTCTGTGAGTCACTTGTTTCTTCTTCCTTTAGTTTTTTTCCTCTGTTGGAGTGATTGCTCCTTATTCTGATTATATGAAATCAAGACGGCGTGATTTTTTTTTTCCCTATTTTAACAGATGGGACTTTTTGTACTTTACTTTTTCTTGTGGATGGTATCATTCTTATAATCTTCAGAGTCATGGAGCTGTCGTTTCTGACATCATTCCGGAACTTCTGACTGTAGCTTGAATTTAGGTCGTGTTGCTATTCACAATCGAAAATGAACGTATTTTGTTTTGTATGCCCCATGCGCACTAGGTCGGGACACGGAGTGTGTAGTGGTGCATCCATCTAGTCTGGTTGGTTCTGTCCTTCCTACACGGCCGGTTGGGCTTCCCCCCTTTCCCGTAGTACAGTAGTAGTTAGTGGTTATTACAGTTGGCCTTTGTACAGCAAAAAATAAAAATAAAGTTAAAAAAAAAGAGAGTGTTTGACTTTCCTGACGACAATCCAGGTGGATACAGAGATATATAGCTTCCTCAACTCAAGGTTGGAGTCAGTACTCTTTCAGTATCCTAGTCTTAGGTGTCACCACAATTCTCTGTTCCAGTAAAGTGTGAAAGATCCCTCTTTTTCTTTTAGAACTTTTCCCTTTGGGTTGTTTCTGTGATTGTCGAATAGCGGAGTTGGTGTTTCTTGACGTCTTTGAGTAGGCAGTCACTCTGTAGTATGTAATTTAGAGCTTTACTGTTTTGATTTTTCGGGGAGTATGATCACTCTTTGGTGAAATTCTGTTTGCTGCTGCTGTTTCTGTTGTTCTCTGAAATGCATTTGTAATTGCAGTTGATCAGTGATACCTACAAAATATATTGACGACGTTGGTTGGGGCCACTCTGGCTGATTGAGTTTTGGAAGACTGTCGAAACCAATCCATCCTGGGAGTCCCTCTTCTTGTTTTTCCCATATTCACGCTGCTACTCGTCTACTTTGGTTCTTGATCTGTTTGCATTTTTTATGATTCATTAGGACTTGTGTGTGTGAAAATGGAGGTCTAAGAGAACATTCCGGGCCATTATGGGAGATGGGGCCTTCACGGCTAATGACTCGGGAACACTTTCTGACAATGTCCTGGACTTCGATCTCATGGATGAACTCTTGTTTGATGGTTTCTGGTTAGAATCTACACGGGAGTCCAACTTTTGGGAGCCTGGTCCGTCTACTACCGGTGCTTTAGATTCCCCTCTATACTATTCCCTTACTCCAGAGATTAACATAGCCCATTTTAATTCGAACCTAGATCAGGCAAGCATTTCAGAAGAAGCAAAAACGACTGATTTTGTTGACCATAAGGCTCTCGGTCGTACCCAAATGGATGAATTTGGGACAAGACACCGGGAGAACCTTGACGCTGCTCTTCATTCTGCATCTTCAGGGCAACCTGAAGGCTTTTTGGTAGAAGGGAGCGACATGAACAGAAGATTATGGGTTGGACCAACTGGAGATCCAACTCCAAATACCTCGGTGAGAAAGAGACTAGTGCAGGCTATTGAATACCTGAGGAAATCCACTTCTGATAAGGATGCTCTGATTCAAATTTGGGTGCCTGTAACAAGAGGAGGCGGACGTGTTCTTTCAACTAAAAATCAACCATTCTCCCTCGATCCAAATTGCAGAAGTCTTGCAGAATACAGACACATCTCCAGAAACTATCAATTTGCCGCTGAGGAGGACTCCAAGGAGCTTGTTGGATTGCCTGGCCGTGTCTTCTTGAAGAAGTTGCCCGAGTGGACTCCTGATGTTCGTTTTTTCAAGGGAGAAGAGTATCCACGTGTTAATCATGCCCAGCAGTACAATGTTAGAGGGTGTCTTGCTCTTCCTGTTTTTCAAAGAGGAAGTGGAACTTGCTTAGGTGTCGTTGAAATTGTCTCAACAGCTCAGAAAGTTAATTATGGCCCTGAACTTGAAAACATTTGCAAAGCTCTTGAGGTTCATTCATGCCCTGATTCATTTTAATTGTTCTATGATTATAAAAAAAAGCAGTTACTTTCTCCCACAGACTGTTGAGAGTTAAAAACAGAGACTTAATTTGTTCAAGTATCATTGGATTTAAGATGAAATGCTGACTTTAGGATCTTGGTCCATCTTCAGTGGCATGATATGATAAGTTTTCAAGGTGCGGCATTTTGCTCGACCTGTTGGTCACAGCCCTGTATCTAATTGCACTTATTGTAGCCTATACATTGTATGTTATCAGCTTTTAGATGTTTGTTTAGTTTGACATATATCATGAAGGTTTCTGATTTTGGACTAACATTTTAAATCCTGGTCTATGCAGTTGTAGTGTTATCTCAACTTCATTTCTCCCAAATGCATCATTTTTTTTTTTTTTTTGGTCCTTTCTTTGGTTTCTGAGCAATAATTCATTCTTTCAGGCTGTCGATTTAAGCAGCTCAATTATCTCAACTTCTCCCAACATGAAGGTACACACGAGAGGCTTGTAGTACCTAAAAAATGAAATTTGCAATTGGAAGTTCATTCCTGATATCACATGTATGCTTTTGTCAGGATTGTGACGAGTCCTACCAACTAGCTTTAGTAGATATCCGATCTGTGTTGAAATATGTCTGTGACATGAATAAATTGCCGCTGGCTCAGACTTGGGCCTCTTGTATCCGGCAAGGCAAAGGCGGGTGCAGGCACTCCGAAGAGAACTATGTGCGTTGTGTTTCTACCGTTGACTCTGCTTGCTATGTGCGTGATCCACAAGTTATGGACTTCCATGCAGCTTGCTCCGAGCACCACTTGCTTAAAGCCGAAGGTTTGCCAGGGGGAGCATTCATGACAGATCAACCATGTTTTGCTACTGATATCACAGCCTTCAGCAAGACAGATTACCCTCTTTCTCACCATGCCAAAATATTTGGAATGCGTGCTGCTGTAGCGATACGTGTTCAGAGTATTTACACTAAATCTGCTGACTTTGTTTTGGAGTTCTTTCTACCGCTTGATTGCACAGATGCTGAGGACCAGAAGCAGATGTTGAACTCAATATTTTCTGCATTACAACAGATTTGCCACTGTTTGCATGTCATCACAGACCAAAAGGTAAGAGAAGAAACAACCATTCCTGATGATGAAAAGCCAAGCTCTTCTGTCAGTAAATCAGTAAAAGAGAAGACTTTAGGTTTTGTATCACCCGCTAAGGAATTATCTCTAAGCACTTCCTCCTGGGTTGCACCCGCACTAGACAACTCAGAGACAGTCAAAGATGTAGCTTTCTCTCTGGATAATCACCAGGAGGATCCAGAAGAAGAGTGCAAGTTGACAACCCAGTGGGACAACAATAAGGCGGAGCTACATCATACGCCTACATCCCCCAAGCTCATCCAAATTCCGCAACGTTCTGGATTGAAAGGACATGTTGTAGGTAGTGAAGATGTTTCTGCAGTTGGGGGTCATAACTCAATGGGTGACAGAAGCACAGGTCAAAGAAGAAGGACGAAGACGGAGAAGAGTATCAGCTTGCAAGATCTAAGACAGTACTTTTCTGGTAGCCTGAAAGATGCTGCGAAGAGTATTGGAGGTACGAAACACTTTCACTTGGAAAAAATATATATACATCACCAGATCCAATTTATACAAGACTTTCCATACCTTGAGAGGTTTATATGCAAGTTTCAGCTTTCAAAAATCCAGAATTTCTTGTTATGGATTTCCTTTGATGTATAGTTGATTATTATCTGCTAAGCATAAGTTGACATATAATAACTTGTATATTGGAGTCTAAAACTTAACATAGGAGTGATGTATTTATAAAATGCCCGACAGCAAGTATAATTCTTTCAAATCTGAAGATAACAAAAACCCAAGCGTGAGAGGGCCTCAAGGTACCGAACTGGAGTGCTAATTTTGTTCACTTCACTACAATACGAGTGAATGCATAATAATATAGTCAAATTTTCTTTCTTGAAGAGGTTGAATAGTAATAATATAGTCAGAAAACTTGGTAGACATATAGTTATTTGGCTTTATCTGGTATAGAGTTGAAAAGCCTTTGCAGTTTTGGTGGGTTATGACTTGTAGGTTTACGTACATGAACCATTCCACTTTAAATCTGGTTCTAAGGAATCTCAGGTCTGCTCTGGAAATTTGGGGATGGCACTTGACTTCTGCTGATAGGCTAAAATTGTCGTCAATCCAATTCGAAGAGATTCTTTGTTTCATCATGATTTTGACATTGCTATGCACTTTCACGTTCATAATTTTGACCACTTCCCTGATCACGAAAGCAGAACCCTCTAAGCTTAATCTGTGCCATTAATTTCCTGCAATACCAGATGGTATAGCTTGCTGAAAAAGAAATTCAATCTGTCGATCTTGCAGTATGTCCCACAACATTAAAAAGAATATGCAGACAACACGGAATCACTAGGTGGCCTTCTCGAAAGATAAAGAAGGTTGGCCACTCGTTAAGAAAGCTCCAACTTGTGATCGATTCAGTCCAGTGTGCCGAGGGCGCTATTCAACTGAGTTCTTTCTATACCAACTTCCCTGAACTGAATTCTGCAAATTTACCAACTCCAAGTAACTTGTCCATGTCACAAGGGAGCGATCATTTGCAGAAACTGACCACTCAACCTGAGGGTTGCATCTTAAGCCCTGAAACTACTGCTTCAAAATCACCTTCTTCTTCTGGTAGTCATAGCTCCAGTTCAAGTTTTTGTTATTCCACTGGGCCAATGCAGTCTATTCCTGTCCACGCGCCCAGTGCTCAAGATGCTTCATCTGCAGAAGAGTGCAGAGCAGCACTGAAGAAAACATGCAGTGATGCAGAGTTGCATGATTTGGTTAAAAGAGAAGAAACCAAGCTTCTAGGAAGATCTCAAAGCCAAAAGATTTTCATTGATGATGTGTCTCCTGATACTCTGCCTTCCTTCCCACAGACTAGCAGCCAGATATTACGGAGTGGAAGCTTGTTTAGGGTAAAAGTAAATTTCGGGGAAGAAAAGGTCCGGTTTAGTCTACAGCCTCATTGGGGTTTCGCAGATTTATTGAAAGAAGTACGGGGGCGCTTTAGCATAGACGATCTCATTGAGATTGATCTTAAATATTTGGATGATGACAACGAATGGGTGCTTTTGACATGTGATGCTGATCTTGAAGAATGTATAGACATACACAAATCCTCTAAAAGCACCGTGATCAGACTGTCCATCCACCAGGGCCGTCATTTTAATGTTGGAAGCACATCTGGTAGCCATGGCTCATGATAAAAATGGAAGCAGTCCAGAGAGCGGTGGCTTGTCAATTGCTGGACACAGGTTGAACACCACACCGCTGGTGTTTGCTGATAGCAGAACAGTGAAGTTGCGACCTATGGTTGCAGACTGAACTCTTGATTAGGGATACATGAGAGGTTGAAATGCGTTTCATTGAAAAGATATTCTTGCTGGCTGAAATCTCAAAGCGACCAATTTTAACGCTTTGCCAATGTGAGATCAGCATATTTGTGTCGTTAATCCTTGGCATTCAACTGATATGAGATGCTGCTACCCTTGTCCCATCCCCTTGTTACTGCAGCTCCACTAGCAATCTCAATGCGCATTTTTTTTTTTTGGGTGCAAATATTATTGTGCTTGCGAAATCAGATATCCTTGGAGAGCCGATGAAACACAAAAGGGATATTTACAATATTTTTAACCCTGATTATCTTCTCATATTCAACGACGAGTACATATGGTATGGTTCCAAATAGAATTCTCTTTCTGATGCACACAACAACACATGGACTTCCCTCGGGCCAAAAAAGCGGAAGTCCAGACGATCCCGGCTCCTCGCGCAGTCCCTATCGCCTTGCAAGCTTGGATCCAAAACACTCGAGCAGCAAAGCTTACAACTCTCCGGGGAATTATATACACAATACAACTATCATTCGTATATGCAACTATCTTGTCAACCTTGCCAACTTACAGGGAAAACTGTACAAGAATCGATATGGTAATCGGGGACTACTATAGACGTCAACTGGTTGATCTTCCTTTGGATATCAAAGTCCTCTTCTCAGGGTCTCGTTCCATCTTTTGTTGTGCGGCGAATGGAAGCGGCAGCGGGAGAGGGAGAGGGAGAGGCCGTTCAGAGTCTGCACCAGGTGTGGCCACCGCTTTTTCTGTAATGATCTTCTCTTGTTCAGAAGCAACTACAGATGGCTGTGGCTTAGGTGCGTAGTTAAAGGAGAGATCTTTGTTAGCCGCGAGTGCAAGGAGCTCCTTCTCCTCCAGGCCCTTTGTTGGCTCCAGGCTGCAAAAATCTGCGCCATACTTGGCCAACGCGTCTTTGAATTTTTTGATCTGTTATGTTATGAATGTAGTAAATTAGCCAGATACTGCATGTTTATCTCTAAGAAAAAAATATTGGTTCCATGACTACTGAGAAACTAACTAACCGTGGCATTGGTACAACTGAAGCTGCAGAGACGTCCATGAGCACCCCTGTAGAAACGAAAGAAGGGCAGGACGTGGACGTTAAGAGCGTAGCACATAGACTTGTGCTCCTCATAATTCACCTGAAGGAACAGCACATCCGGATTCATCTCTGCCAATTGGCATATCTGCAATATACCCCCCAAGCACAACAGAAAAGAAGATATTACTACTTTTCCCAGAGACCCAAAAAATAAAAATAAAAAAAAAAAAAGTCTTTTTCTTTGTAATGCCATAAATAAGCCAGTGTCTTCTGATTACAACAGATTCAGGCCGCTTCCAGAAAGACAGATAAGAGGAGTAGTAAAAGTGTGAAAGTTTGAAATATCAACCTTGGGATGAAGGGCTTTGCAACCACCACAACCAGGGGAAAAGAAATCAACAACCACTAGCTTGTCCCCAGAGCTTAAGAGAGAATCCACAAGGTGTTGGGCACCCATGACCTCTCTCATGTTAGGTTGGAGGCCTTTCTCCCACCATTTCTGAGCTTTCCCAATAATTCCGCTGGACCTCGTCGTGATCTGAGGAAGGTATAGTAAATACTACGTAAAATTGTTGCAATCAGAAACCCAAATAAAAAATATGCTCCGTTTCACAATGAGAGGCCTAGCTAGCATTATCAGTACAAGTAGTTTAATTGAGGATATTGATGTGATGATATACTACCACTTATTGCTTTACTCGAACATTACAAGCAAAAATTACTATAGTAAGATCCTTTTTTTTTCAAGGTCTGGAGGTTAATTCCCCCAGTTAGTTTGTGCAGAGCTTCGCCCCAAAGATACCCAACAGTAGCACCATGGTAAAATGAATAATAACAATTAATTCATAATATTAAGAATAATACTCCACTAACTAACTATGTAGTATAAAATACTAATACTACTACTTTTATTTGATAATTATAAAGATAATAGTGGGATAGGAGGCGGAGGAGGTAAGGCAGGAAGAATGCGGAGCGGGAATTGAATTGAAGAGGAAAGTAGCAGGGGAGGTATCTGACCCGAGGAGGAGCAGAGGTATGAGAGGGGACGTGGCTTTTGGGTTGAGTAGACGGTAGTAGTTCCCCGCCAGAAGCAGAAGTGCAGCGGGCGGAGGAGCTGTTGTTGGTGGTGAGAGGCCTAGATCGGAGCTTCAAGGACCGGGGGAAAGCCATGGAAGATGAAAAAGCAACAGCAGCGGACGATGATGATTTAGTATCATCATTTCCAGCAGTAGCAGAGGGAAAACTACTCAAACGTCGTATTGGAGAAAAGCAACTAGCGGCCGCCGCCGCTGCTTCAGCCATCATTTGTATGTTCCTGTAGTATAAATTTTTCTTTTTTCTTTTTTCTTTTTTTTTGATTGATGGGTGAGGAGTGGGAGTCTATCACAACTACAGAGCACAACGGTACCTCTCACCAGACCAGATTGGAAGAAATGAAAGGAGCTGAATCTATCATCTCATCTCACATGTATGTATCTATGGAAGAGGAAGAAGAAGAGGTCCAAACCAAAAGTAGCTTTTCTTTTCTTTTCTTTTCTTTTCTTTACAAATGGATGCTGCAGTTGGCGTTTCGGCCTTTTCTTCCGCTTTTTTTTCTTTCTTTTTGGGGGGTTTGGATAATAAAGCGATTCTGGTCTTGACTTTGCAGTGGTAGGATCCAAGTGAAAAGAAAGGCACGCAACGAAAGACGCGGTGGCCCTGTCGTGTCCTGTCCCTGGGGTCTCTTCGTATCATATCTCAATTTATATATCATATCTAATTCATAATAATTTATTTAACGGATTAACTTTTTATACACTGACAACATAGTAGTGTAGTTCGTGTTGTATGATATAATCTAAATCTATTAGCGCACAAAAAAAAAAATTATACAGTGATGGTAGACAAAAAAAATTATCCTTATTTAACACTATACTACTATATACTCGTACTACAAGCTATTACATTCACACAACTTTCTTATTTAATTTTGCCCCTTTTTTTTTAAAAAAAAAAAAACCCTTGCTAGAGAATTTTCAAGAAGGAAAGCTCCAAGAAAAAAAAACTGCAAGACTAAAGTGGTCTTCGCACCATGGATACAGAATTATTTGAAAAACAAAAACACTTCTATGAAATACTGTAAATAATTAATTAAGAAAATATTTTTAAAAAAATTTACTGTAATCATTTGATGCACGTGAGGAAAAAAAAGATAATAGAAAAATGTGATCACGAAAAACGACGCAATTTTTCAGCAGAAAATGACAATCCAAACAGGGCACTCAAGTTTATAATAATGAAAAAAAAAGAAAAAAGAGAGCTTATCCAAACAATAATAATTTGTAAGGTTGAGGAACGTGGTGGCAGTTGGTAGTTTGTAGAAATCGGACACGTAACTGAACGGGAGCAGGGGAAATGGAATCAGCAACGATAATCGGAAAAATCCAAACTGCAAGAGTTGATTGCTTGCTGCTGACTGCTGAGTGGCTCCTTCTCTCTTTTGCCGGTCTCTGTTGTGGCGAAGGGAGATGCACATACCGTATATGTGGCTCCCGGTAGGGATGCCGCCGCGCTCCTCGCTGATATTTCTCTGTTTTCACACCTACTACGTGTCGCTTTGTGAGTTCATCGGCAAAAACACATAAAAATAAAAACCAAGAGATATTTTAATGCTGATAGATACAAACTTGCAAATTCCTAAAATCAAGAATTTATTTATTTACATTATCAGAAAATTCCAAACAAACTAAATAGCATGAGAAAATAAGAATATGCACCTATCATACATAATCCAAAGCATATATATATATATATGTCACCAGCAATTTGGTTAATTAAACCAACATTAGAAAGAAGGAACTTTAAATTAGTTAATATTTTTTTACAAGTATATACCAAATGGAAAAATTTTTATTATGTATAATTGACTAAACATTGCGTTATTGCGATCTACTTATTTGTTAGGCTGTTATTAAAAATAATTAATAGCTCTAAACTTTGAACGTATTAATTTAAACACTATATATGCATATCTAACGTGAATTTTGTTACAACGTTGACATTATTATAACCACTTTTACTTCTAATAATGAAAAATAATTTTAAAAAGGTACAAATAAATAAAGAATAAGTTTGAGAAAGAAAAATAAAAATAATGTGTAAACAATAATGGAAAAAGAGAAGAAAGCAGGAGAAAATTTTAAAAACTCAAAAGAAAGTGGACAAGTAGAAAAGGGCAAAAAGGAAAAAAAATGATTAATATGCAAGCGACATTTTTGTCCTAAAGCATTAAGTAGGGGAAGTAAAGAGTCGATTTATTGATTTCGGAGAGTAAAAAGAAAGTATTTAGAAGGCTTTTAATCCCATTTTTTTTTATCATGCGAATAAAATAGAATACTTTACTAAATTCAAGCGCACCAAATTTCCATTTTTATAATAACCGAGTCCAAACAAAAAATAAATAAATAAAGGGGCTTTTAATCTTTCTCACCTAATAATAACAAATTATAAAGTGTGTAAATCATTCCTTGATTACTCTCTCATGACGAAAAAGAGGCAGTAGTCCCTAGTTTTGTTTCTGTATATGTTGAAAGGTTTTTCCTTTCCTTTTTTACTCTCTCTTTTTTTTTTTCTTCTTTTTCTGGGGAGAAGAAAAAGAAAAAATGAAAATGAAAAAGAAATTAGCGTGTCAGAAGGTGAACAGGGGGAGAAAATTATGGATGGACGAGAGTGCTACTCGGTACAAGATCTGGAATCCCTGATGGCTTTACCAGACGTACATCCAAGTAAACAAGTGGATGATATCCTCCCAGATTAGATTGGATTGGATAAAGATAAATTCCCCCATCCCATCCCAGGTGCTGCCAAGTGCCACTACCCACCTCTCGACACTCTTCTAACTGTCTGCCTTTGCAGATTCTACTAGTACACGGTGTGACAGACAATGAAGAGACAACCATTCCGGAAGGTTTACGGTCATGCTTAGATCACAAAAATTTGTGCGATTCAGATCATTCACTGTAACTCGATTTTCACGTCGTCGCGTGAGACTCATAAAAATATTATTCTAGTGTTATTCGTTGTCGTTCTATTGTTACATCTTATACAGATGATATTACATCGTGTGTAAATGACG